AAGGGGGAGTCAAAGGGACCAGAGGGTAGATCAATTAATCAGTGGAACAACTTTCCTCCAGAAGTTGTGAATGCTACAACACTGGAAGTTTTTAAGAAGATGTTGGATAACCATTTGTCTGTTGTGGTGTAGAGTTTCCTGCCTAAGCAGGGGGTTGGACTAGAAGACCTCCAAGGTCCCTTCCAACTCTGTTATTCTATATTCTATTCTACATTAGGGTCAAACATTTTGATCTGACTTTTTGAGGAAAGGTGGAGAAGACTTTGGGATGTTGGGTTTTTAATTTCCAATTCTAATTTATTTCTATTCCTCTCCTTCCTCTATGCAGATATTAAGGCTTTGGGACATTCAGCATCAACTTTGCGTGCAAAGGATTGCCGGATCCTTCCCCAAAAGTGTGGACTTTCACTCCACCCTTTTTTTCCATGAATCACAAGGTCTCCTATTCATCTCAATGAACAACCAACTGATGGTATTGGAAATGGAACACGAATTAGGGAAAAGGAGAGTGGCAAGTCACAAGAAAGCTGTGACTTGCCTCCTGTATAATTCCATGCTCCAACAGGTAAAACATACAAGAAAAGGATTCTTTTGGTAATTGTCTGAGAAGCTATTTGAAATTCATATTCGCTGTTTTCTGGATGTTCTTTTCAGCAAGTAAAAATTGAAGCACAAGAAGCATTTACAAAGGAATTTCCTCTGTGCTGCGATGCAGTAATTGTATTTTTCTGGCTTTCCTTTAAGACACAGGCATTTTGCCTTCTCTAGAATTTTATTTCAGTACTGGAGGTCACCCAATTTTCTATAGCTTAATTAACACTGTGCTGAAGCATTTTGTCAAAAGCTTTCTTTTCTTCTGCTGCTTCCTCTGCTTTTCTGCATTATTCTCAGGATGTGCAAGTTTCCTTTTTAATTTCTGCTGGTGGCATTTTTGAACTGACTTTATTCATGGAATAATAATATGGTGCCACTATTTTCTTTTGTGCACTTGTTCTTCACTTGGAATTTCTATGCCTGCCTCCACTTTTCCATCTGAAAAGGTTGTGTGCGAGGTTTTGTCACATTCCTCTTTTGGGATATAATTGAGGTACAGGAAATCAGGAATGGTGCAGACAGTTGAAAAGATGTTTCTCCAAGGAAAGGAAGGATATTTATACACACTCTTGGCACCATATTATTAAATAAGTAGGAGAATGTACTCTTAACCTATAAACAGGAAATTCTGTTTTCTTCTAACAGCAAATTCTCTTTCACCACATTGAGTGAAAACTTCAAGAGACCTTAATTATGGTTCCATTTAGTTTAATGCAGTTCAAATATCTTCTACAGAGTCAAATAGAGCCTTACTCCTTCTTTTAACTTTAAATAAATAAATAGATGACGGACAGATGGATGGATGGACAGATGATGGATCCAGATTGTTGGGGGCAATATTCTGATTCTGTAAATCTCTTAGAGAGGGCTGTAAAGCACTTTGAAGTGGTATATAAGTGCTATTGCTAAGTCATGGTTGTTAAGTGAGTAACCACATGGCCAAATGGGATCTTTTTATCTTATTTCAATAGTCATTAAGTGAATACCATCATCTTTAACAAACTCATTGGTTACTATGGAGTCTTTCTTTGCCAGAAACTGGAAATAAATGTCAATTTCTAACAAAATGTCCTAAATTGTGGTCACAGGACTGTGGGACATTGCAAACAGTCATAAACATGGGTCAGTTTCTGTGTTTCAAAAATGTTGTTAGATCACCACATGGAAGCAGCCCCTAGAACTTCAAATCTTGGTCATAAGTAGCTTTTTTTGAGGGGGGAGGGATATGTCATACCTTCAAACGGTTGCTAAATGACCAGTTGTAAGTTAAGAACTACCTACAGTACTTTCGTAGGTTATTTCAGAGTTTCGGTTAAATGCGTGGGTTTGGGTGTAATGTTGGGGAGAAAAGTCAGTGTGCAAAGATTCTGCACACTCCTGTATATATTTAATTCTCTGAGCCATTCCTATGAATGCACTGTATGTGTTTTTAAGAACAAGAAATGAAACATCCTTCAATGAAATACACATAATTAGCCTAATTGGAATACATTGTATGTTTGTGATTGCTACTCCAAAAACATTGTCAGCCAGTAAAATGCAGAAGATGAGCAAAATAATAAGAGGAATCAGGGAAACAAATATATAAAGGAAAGTTATAATATTTGGACTCTTATTTTTTAAAATGAATTAATAGAAGTTATGGATTAAAATGAGAGCCAGTTTGGGGTAGTCATTAAAACAACAGGCCAAAAATTGAGATAACATGAGCAATGTTCTCATCTTAGCCAGCTGGATGACCTTGAGCCAGTCATTCTCTCTCAGCCCTAGGAAGGAGGCAATGGCAAACCACTTCTGAAATCTCTCCAGCAAACTACAGGCACTTGTTGAGGGAGTCACCAGGAGTTAGCACTGATTGAAAAGCAAAAATAAATAAATAAATAAAGGAAATTTATATTATTGATGGTTTTAGAGACACTCAACTGAGAACTTTTTTCTGTACCACGTAGTAAAGAATATTAGTGGAACATGTAAGATAAATCAAAACACTTCTTTATATATTGTATTTTTCAGAATATAAGACACACTCCCCCCCCCCTTAAAAAAGTGGGTGGAAAGTCTGTGTGTCTTATACAGTGAATATTGAGGCCTGGGGGGAGGTGTTGGTGTGGCACTGATCAGCTGTTCTAGAATTGGCCACAGCGAACGTGCTGTGGTGGTAAACAGGCCGCGGCAGTGGTGATGAATGAATGAGCCACGGTGGTGGCAAATAGGCTGTGGCGGCAGCAAATGAGCTGCAGTGGCAGCAAATGGGCTGCAATGGCAGTGGCAATTAGGTGGTGGCGAACGGACAGTGCCAAATGAGCCAAAATAATACCGAATGGATGCTGGGAGGCAGAGGCAGATTTTTTTTCTTATTTTCCTCCCCAAAAGCTAGGTGCGTCTTAAGTCTGGAGCATCTCATAGTCTGAAAAATACGGTAATATACTTTTAATCTATTTTGCTTTCTCAGGGGTATTGATTGCCATTAATTGGATGGCTGCATGGGTGAGTTAATATAAAGACAGGACTCTCATCAATTGTAACAGGTGTATGAAGCACATCTCTAAACAATAGTCCCTGGGGATTTAGAGAAGGAAACAGCTTCCGCCTTCATGTTCTGCTTTATGATTTCTGATAAACAATTTGGTTAGCTACCTGTGAAAAGCAAGACATTGGACTAAAAGACGCTTGGAGTTTCTTATGTTCTTGTGAAAATGTGTGAGAGAGACCAACTATTCCTTTGGGGACCAGAATTTGCTAACATGAGGGCTTTCTAAATATTGCATGGAGCCCAACTGAACCTAGTCATTTTTATGCAGACATCCTACTCAATGGGTATAAGGGTTAGAGGAGGGGTTTTCCAATAGTGGTAACTTTACAACTTGTGGACTTCAACTCACAGAATTCCTCAGCCAGGAACTCTAGGTTAGAGAATATTGGGCACAGAAAACCCAACTCCTGCACAATTTTGTATGTGGAGAATGCATGGAAAGACTTACCACACCCTTACTTTGAATCATCTAGTTTTACCATAATCGATTAATGTAGATCAACTATTTTTGACCCTTTAAAAAAAGAGCTATAATTGTCATCTCCACCCTGGTCCTCAGTAAAAAAGAAAGAAGCTTAAGAACTGGGGCTGAGAATCATATTTCAAAAGCATCTTGCTTCCTGTTGCAAATGAACTTGCTTTTGAAACATTCATATGAAATCACCTTATGGCCCATGTTAGCTATAAAATGTGCAAACAGTGCACTTAGCTGAGCTCTGTGTTTTGCCTTATGCAATTTTTCCAACAGAAATTCATAACATAACGGGCATGGATCATAGTTATATCTTTGATATTATAAAAGAAATGAATTAAACACACAGCCACTTGGTATGCAAGTTGGATGTTCATTCTCTTTGCAGCACTGCAGCTCTTATAAACAGAGATTTACCTACATCTCGCCTGAGATTCAGGAACCCCAGTCGTCATAATACACAATGTGATGAAATTAAGCTCTGGGCAAATTGCCATTATTTCCTCCTTTCCCTCTTTTCTGAAACAACATGGATCTCTTTTGTTCAAGGTTTAAAATGAAGCAGCAAAAAGAAATTATTTACTATCACAAGTGCTATAAGAAGAATGAATAATCTGGGGTGGGGGGCAGCTTAATATGAGTTCTTCAGCCTCTTTGGTTCCCCCACTGAATATTCTTGGACTGCATGCCTAAATTTGATGGCATAGATGACAAAATCAGGGATGTAGTGTCTGTCATATTAATGGGACTATGGGAAAATTAAAGAATAAGTGCTGAATAGAATAGAATAGAATAGAATAGAATAGAATA